CGACTTCTCTCACGTGCCAAAAGATTAACAACAACGTGTTGCTTGTGTTCATAAGAGACGGCTTTTTTGTTCCGAGAGTGCGAAAGCTGACGTGACAGCCGACGATGATAACGATTCACGTTAATCGCACAGGACGAAGTGTCTCCGGAGCGCCAGGTTGATCAGAGTAACACGAGAGTATTCTCCTCTCATACCCCTTCCACACTTGCTTGGCAGTAACTCTCAGTAATTTGTCGTCATGCTTAATACACGATGCTTGTTGATTTGTTAATCGGTTGAAAGATCGTAACCATGCATCCGTTAAAATTTTGGAAACTTATCGGAAGGCGAACGAGATCGCTTTCCGACCGTTGAATGCTAGTGATTCGTGCGACTTGTGCAATCGGCAAATTTAAAGTCCATTTTCGCACCTCCATCGACGTGTGAAAATTGCTCAGCTACTGTCGCGACGATTGCCGCGGCGCGCCCTCCTCTTTAATTACTGCCAGATAAGTGGTGGGTGACTATTTCTAACAGGTGCAGGCCCGCTTTTACAGCTTCGACACAGTCACAGTTGCAGCGAGAGTCGCGGTAATACGGATCCAACTAGAAAGCTATAATATCCCCTAATCGGCTGGAGAGTTTGCGCCAACAATGCTACATAGTGACGATCGCTTGACATTAATAGCGATACATAATGAGAGTTAATGTTATTGTCGACGATATCGTACGCTTAGATGCTAAATTATTAATAATAATAATAATAGATAAGCAGCTTATCATTCCCATGTTTATTTCTGTCGCTCCCACAAAGTCTCGTGTATAAAATTATACATACTTATACTTAATTATACTTGCACACATCTTTCCCTTTCTTCTTTTTAAAATTAATGTTACAGAAAATAGTATGTTTTATTTATGTCTCGCATGATTCGCATTCGAATACAACACGGAATTTTGCGGAGCGACTTGTGCGACTTCTCGACCGCAGCGAAGGCTCAACAGTCTTTAAAACAATTCTTGACTGCGGTCGCGGTCACGAAAACACCTGCATTCCCATCAACACACGTCTCTGAGATCTTTCTCTCGTTAACACGCGGATCTCTTTCGTAGGACAAGCGTTTTCGCAGCCCTTGAGCAATGACTCGAAGGTCATGTCCACCAAAGAGGGCCCCGACAAGGAGGACGACAGCTACTTGGGTTACTCGGTCGCGGCGGGAGATTTCGTCGGGAACGGCGACAGCGGCATGGTAGTCGGCGTTCCTCGTGGCTCTCATCTCCTCGGCAAGGTGCGTACCGCAGGAAATGGCGTATCAAACGTTGCAATGAGGCTTGGGCAGATAAGAATCTGCACTGAGAAAAATGCGTTTGGTATTTATGACTATAATTACAGAGTGAATTGTAATCAAAGGAACCATTTTTGTGTGTGCTATACTGAGAAAAGGATATCTAAAAAATGAAAAATATTCATTCGGTGAATACTGATAACTTAAATCTGAATTCTTTTATTTAAATAGAAGAAATCATTGCTGTCCATAAAAACTAAGGTTTCAGGAAAATGTACTCGTTTTTATTTGAAAAATATTTTATATCAGTATAAGTAAATATATACTTAGTATATATTTACTTAATACGCACGTTATCATAGGCGAAGGCTACTTGCAAATTACGTTATCGTAGGTCATACTTCTCACATCGAACATGATGAATCCGCAAAACATCTCCGGCGAGCAAATGGGTGCTTACTTCGGCTACGCCGTGGCTACCGGCGACATAGACGGAGACGGGTTGGACGACCTGATAGTCGGTGCACCCATGTACACGATCCCAGACAATCCGGAAATGACCATCGAGACCGGAAGAGTTTACGTGATATATCAGAGTAACGACAAGAAGAAGTTCCGTAAATTCGACACGAGGTAGCGAAACTTTAATGATCATTTTTCTCAGATAATTTTCGCGAAATTCCGGTTAGACTGAAGAACGATTAACCGGCAAAATTGCAATCTCGAGCTATGCAATCCGAGAAATGGGGCAATTTGTCAAAAAGTAGTCATTCTGAATGCGTAATTTCAAATGCCAAAATAATCTTTTTTGGCTCTTTAGACAAACAACTTTTTAGGAATAAAGAAAAACTAATAATGATAATAGTAATAATAATAATAATTTTTTAGTACATTACCTCGTACTGATTTCGATATTTTAACTTCTCGAGACAATAGCATACTTCCAATATTTCGGGAATTTGTCTCGGTGTTAGAATTAACGTGACTTTTTCGAAAATTGCCTCACATCATAGAATTCTGTCACGACTTTTTCCAAGACAACGCAAATTCACTACTAGGCACCTTAGCGGATAAGCGAAGAATCGCGTAATCACGCGTTGCATTTCGCGATATACGAAGAATGCTCACACAGCAAAAACCCCCACGTGACGCTCGAATATTTCCACTACTCCCAAGTTCACGAACGGCACTGACCCGAAGGGTTAAATAGGCTCTGGTCGGATCGCGCTGGACGAGTTCGTTGAACCGCGGTGATAATGACTTATCGTTATCCAGAGACGGCGAAAGCAACCGCGGACGTTTCGGCTTGTCGTTGGCCTCTCTCGGGGATATCGACCGTGACGGTTACGGTGACTTCGTCGTCGGCGCGCCCTACGGTGGTCCGAATGGCAGAGGTGTTGTCTACATTTACTACGGCTCGCGGATCGGCGTGTCGGAGAAGTATTCCCAGGTGATTCACGCGGAGGACCTGGGCAGCCCCGTGCAAACCTTTGGATTTTCGGTGGCCGGCGGCCTCGACCTCGACGGCAACATTTATCCGGACCTGGTGGTCGGTGCATACGAGTCGGCGGCGGCGATGTTCTTTAGGTAGTCGTTCGAATAAACGTTTCTCAGGCGATTTCCAACGAAATCGCCTTCGCCGGCGTTTCGGGTTTTGAATGATCTTTGGCGTCTTTCCAGGGCACGGCCGGTGATCAAGATGGACTCATATGTGACCTTCGGCTCGGAATCCAAGCTGATCTCCTTGGACATCAAGAACTGTACGCTGTCGGACGACACTAGAGTCACGTGTCTCCCGCTTACAGCTTGCTTCAGGTACACAGGAGACGGTGTCCTTATGAGGCACAATTTCAACGTACAATATGTGCTAGACGTGAAGAAAACGAAGAACCCGAGATTGTTCTTCCTAGAGTTGGAGGGCAAGAACACCATGAATCATACGATTACGGTGGAACGTGATCGACAGTTTTGTCGCACGGTTCGAGTGAGTTGATTTTGATATCATATAGAATGTTGTCGAAGAGTAGTTCAGAACTTTGCGGCCTTGTACTACTTACTATAGACTAAAAAATAACGTCAACATTGTTTATCTCGAAAATCCACGGGTCAATCTTTTCAGAATATACAGCGTCATAGAAACAGAAGGTCATCACAGATTAGATGGAATTATTTTATTATAGTTTGTTTGATAGAAAATTGCTGATTTATTCTGATTAAAGAATCAATCTTTACCCTCGTTATTCGTTTATTCGTTATCATTTGTTTATTCTCAAAGGATCTATGTGGACTTATGTTGACTTTAAACATTTTTTATCTAATTTAGTAAATATTCCAAGTCTGCAAAGCTTCAAACGGCCTTTTAATAACAGTCTATGTATTGTGGTCTCTTCTCGAAGCGAAACTTACCATTTCTACATTATCTCGAAGGTCTACGTAATTCCCAATATCCGCGACAAGCTGACATCGTTAGACGCTGAGATGCGCATGAGTCTGGAGGAAGAACGAATCCCGGACAACCGACATCGCGATCCCAGGATGCCGTTGAGGCCGGCTCTCGGCGCGACGACTTCTAGAAAGGACACTCTCTCTATCAGGAAGAACTGCGGTTCTGACAACATCTGCACGCCCGACCTATACTTGAGCGTGACTCCGAACGTCGGCAAATACTTACTGGGATCCGGGAAAAGGCTGGAACTCGAGGTTCTCGTTCAGAACAACGGTGAGGACGCGTTCGAAGCAACGTACAACTTGCAGCTACCAACTGGCATCGATTACATCAAGATCGAGCGAATCGAGACCCTGGAGATTCCCGTTCACTGTTCCGCGCCTAAACAATCGAACAACAATACGCTGCGTTGCGATATTGGAAATCCACTGCCGCAAAACAAACTCGTGAAGTTCAAAGTGCTACTTCAGCCTGTCACGTCTCACGGAATGAAGCCCGTCTACGAGTTCGACATGCACGTCAACACCACGAATCCTGAAGACTGGTCCACCGTCTACGACAACAGCCATCACTTGTCCCTGCCGATTTGGATAGAGACAGATTTGCGCGTGGACGGCGAGAGCAAGCCCAAGGATCTTTACTACAACCCTGACAACTACACTGCCGTAAATATCACGACGGAACTCGAATTCGGGCCGGCGGTCACGCACAATTACACGATTCGCAATCAAGGCCCGTCGGACATCGTTGAAGCTGAGGCATTCCTCGTGTGGCCGGCGCAAACTCTGTCTAACAAAGACTTGTTGTATTTATTAGAACAGCCGGAAACTACTGGACCGATTGCCTGCGAGTCTGCCAACGCAAATTATCTCAGCTTAAAGGTATGTCTAATGCACACTTCATTCGTAGAACATCTTGCCAGTTTTGTAATTTATATAAAAATTTAGAAATTATAGTTATTTTATTAATAATTTATTTTAATATAAACTTAATAATATAAACTTGTTTCAGAGATTTATTAATTCAGTTATTAGTTTGTATTTCATCCCACTGTATTTTTGTGCAATTTAGCTCAATTTATTATTTTACACATTTTTCATAATTTTTATTCTAATATTTATTATTTTACGATTTCAACGATGTTTTTCTTCTTATGCAGCTGAAATGATATTGTAAGTTGTAATTATGTCTTGCAGCTGGATCAGCGCAGGAAAGCTCATTTAAATTACCTCGATTATTCTGGTGTGATACTGGACGAGTCACAATCAGGTAAAACGATTAATGTCCAAAGAGGCTTTGGGGTGGACGGCATCAAAATAAACCAAAAAGAAGAGGTCGAAATAAACAGCGGTGACAGCTCGAATATTCAAAAATCGCGACATTCTTCCTCATCGTCCTCCTCCTCCTCGAGCACGGTCACGGAGACCAGGAGAATTCAACTGAATCCAACAGGACAAAAGCCTCAAGTGCTCACCACGACCTACGACTCTTCCGGAACTAGCTCGGTTAATTCCGAAACCGGTGGCTTGTCCAGCAAACCCAATATAATCTTCCACACGGCACCCGATGGTAGTTATGGCTTTACAACTTCGGAACTTAGCAACAAAGAATTCCACGCGACTGAAGCACCCTTCGGTTCAAGATTACAAGGCATCCGCCACGAGGAATCCTACGGAACTCGCGAGAATCATACCGTCAGAGTAGAAAATCGCTGGGGTGAGGGCAGTCGAGTGGAAGACGAGCGCACGACCTCGTCCTCGGGAAGATTCGATTCCGTTACGACTGACAGCGAGAGGCGGTATCAGGACCTTCTGCAACAGCAAGAGAAGGCTCGCCTGGAAGAACAAGAACGTCAGAGAAAGTTGCAGGAAGAGGAACAGCTACGTGAGCGTCAGCGAATTTTTGTTATGCAACGTCGTCGAGAAGAGGAAGAGCGTCAGCAAGAGGAGGAACATCGTCGGCAAGAGGAAGAGCAACATCGGCTCGACCTGGAACGACGACGGAAATTGGAGGAGCAATATCGACAGAAAGAGCAACAGCGACGAGAAGAAGAGGAGCGACGTTTGAGAGAACAGAGTGAGAGGGAACACAGGTACAACTATGACGAAGAAAGACGCTACGGCGCATCCTCCGGTGGTTACCACCCAACCACGGAGCGTGATTTCGTCACTGGTGATCGTGAAGAAACGGTCGGAGGGAAAGAATTCGGCTTCCGCTTACAGAATATCAATTCTACTCAAGAGCTGGAGCGGCTTTTCGGCACATTGTCGAAGGATACGTCCAGTTACCAGGTGTTTACCAGGCAGGGCCAACAATACGTATATTTCAAGGCGAGATTCCGAACGTCCGCTGATAGAAAAGAATACATAGAGTTCCAAGACGGTTCCATGTTCCCTCTGCAAAACCGTTACGGGGACCAAAGCTATATATCGGAGTCCATGGAGCCACGCGACAGTCGATTCCTCAGGTTAGAAGGTCGGCTATTCGTCGGTCCGGACGGCAAAGGTTACATCGTGCTGAAAGACGATCGGAGATTCCCACTTCAGGGCTCTTTCACATACACAGAGGAGAGATCGTATACTTTGCATGGTCCACACGGTAGTTATCACAGTAACAATACAGATAATCAAGGTCAAAGGACTTATGAGCAATCTTGGCAAGAGGAGTCGTCCAGTCGCGGTTTAACGTCGGACGACGGCTACGAAAGCAAATATAACACGCGCACACACGAGGAGAAGCGAACGGAGGAGAGGACAAGCCAAACTAGAATCTACGGCAAGAACAATGAACGATTCCACGATGAATTTCCCACGGATAGGCCAGAACCCGGTCGTCCGAGCTCGAGGTACAGGCGGGAGAGCGACATGATCGACGTCGAAGAGTTCAAAAAGTTTCAGCGGCTTCACAGACATCAACGGAACATCGACAAAAAAGAGTACGAATACATGGACGATGTAAACGACTACATAAACGATGAAGCTCTCGAGAACGACCACGATAACATTGAAGCCTCCGAGAACGACGACTATGTGAACGATGAAGTCGAGGAGGACTACAACAAAAACAAACCGAAATTATCGGAACCGATACCAACCTGCGACGCAGCGAATTGCGTGATGTTGCGGTGCGTGTTGGGTCCCTTGAAGAAGGATCAACAAGTTTCAATCAGTGCGAGGTATCGCGTGGACGCTCGCACCCTGAATGAAATAGCTTTCAGAGAGAAAGTGAGAGTGTCGACGAAGCTAATAGCGCGCGTCACGAAGCAACCGTTCATCGGTACACCCGCCGAACAGGTGATCCGGAGCGACGAAGTTATCACGAACGTCGAACCCAGCGCGCTACCTACCGTCCCGGACGTCATCCCGCTATGGGTTGTAATCTTGTCAGCCTGCGCGGGAGCGATAATCTTGTTGCTGCTCATATTCTTGCTTTATAAGGTTGGTACGGATACGAATGTAGGGTTGGGGATTTACTGTGTTATACTTGTAGCAATCATTAGAGTTACTTTTTTTTCGTTAATGACAGTAATAGTAATATACAGTTACAATTTGCGGATAACGATAATGAATATAATTGTTATTTTTATCGTTATTTTATACATGTAGTCACGAAACTTGGTGGAAAAGATAACAGGGAAATGTCAGTTCTTTAACGAGCTTTCACTTCTTTTCCTCAATTGTCTCATCGCTTCTTGAACAACGATAGCGAGTTATTTTTAAAAATGAATGACAGCGATAATAGCAAGCCACTCGTTTTAATGATAATGAGCTACGGTAACGAGTTGCTCTTAAAGCAATTCCCTCAACTCTGAATATAACGTAGAATTAAAGACACTGAGCGAAGTAGTTGATTGTATTATTGTTTCAGTGCGGTTTCTTCAAGAGAAACAGACCCTCTGACGCTCCAGAGAGACAGCCGCTGAACAGAAACGGTCATTTCCAACAAGGCGAGGAACACTGAGAGACAAAGGAAGAGAAAGAGAGAGAGAGAGAGAGAGAGAGAGAGAGAGGGAAAGGGAGCTCTTCCGCTTTCCGTTCGGTCGAAGCTTTCGACACTCCGGCCATACCATGGTCGAATTGTAGATGAATTGAAAACCTCGGCTACTCGATCTAACCGCGAGCACAAGTGCCTTAGTCCTCGGACAGTCGAAGGAATGCGCATCGCGTGGATTCGCTCGATGCAATTTGCGGACGCGATCGCGCTGTTCCCTCGTGAACAAATCAACGTTCACAGTGCCTTTAATCCACGTCTGGGCGATAACGAGTATTTTGCTGAGGTGCATTAAAACGGTTCTGAGCGACGATCGTCACTCGTCACTCGTATACTGCCACTGAATACTCCTTCCAGCTCCTGCAGCTCGACCACGCAAGTTTCTAGTCAGGAGACGTTCTTCTTCTTCTTCTTTTTTTTGTTTTTCTTACCGTTGTAATTTACTTAAGCCGCGCGCATAGTCGAACGAATATCTCGGCATTCTGGCAAATCGTATCTTCGTTGTATATAAGTATATATGTATAACGTACACGTTATTTTTTGTACTGTTATCCGCGCTAAAGCGCCTTAACGCGCGCCTCTCGTCGCTTCCGCTGCCTTTTTACGATAGATTAGAATTACTTTTCTATCCGTGTGTATACGATCGGCACGATCTCCAAAACGATCTCGTATCTCGCCGATGACATTAGCGGAACTCGTTCGAAAAACGTCAGGAACGTCAATCGGTGAGTCTTTCATGCGACACCCCTTTCACACGAGACATTCAACGGCCGTAAAACCGTGGAATTTGTATCCAGGCGACACAAATGTATAAACACTAATATAAGAACGTTAAAAGTTTTCAAATGTCTTTTACATTTTTATATCATTTGGAAAATATCTTACTAGCAGCATATCAAACATTAATCGTGTTCCGTTTGAAAGGGGACTGAATCTCTTTCGAAAGCAGCCTCGAAATCACACGATTTCTTGATTATTTATTAAATTTCTATATATATGTATTATATATAATACACATAACGTATGCTTGAGCGCCATAACAATAGCGTGGCTATGCTTCAGCCATGCGCGCAAGGTGAATGTGTGTACAATCTGTAAATTAGAGATAGGCGATGTACGACTGAAGAATCGATGTTCGATTCTTATCTTTCACCTTTTTCTTAATCAAAGAATGAATAGTCCCTTCGATAGATAATTGATGTAGTACAGTTATTTGCACACATGTTTTTTCTGATGAAGTTAGGAGCGCATCAAATAGTCACAATTGCAAGCCACTACTCACGGGTTAGCTACTTACATGACAATCGGTTTTTATAATCGGTTATTTGAACGTCGACTCTTTCTCTTCTCAATATCGCCCATCTCTATTGTAAATTATTAATTAATTACGTTACTAAAAAAACTACTTACGAAAAATAGATAAACGCTATCTGACTGGAGAGAAAAATCCCCGGTATAAATAGGGAAGTAGAACTGATTTGTACATACAGCGCTAAGATCTAATATTAAAAAAAAAAGAATATACATATAAATAATAAAATTAATACCATTTTGCGTACAATGCTCATTTTTTTTCTAATAAAACTCTGTAAAAGGTCGATTCGTGCAACACTGGTGATACGCGGCGCAAGTGAAAGGACGAAAACTTGCACATCAAACGGATAGTTTACAACCATTTATTGAAAAATTACAATGACATAACAGCAGTTGGCATAAAACAAATGCTTACTATATCAACATCATGTGTACTGCCTGCATTGTATTGATCGCGTTGACCATTTTTCCGCTGAAATCGGTGTATAAATTACATCGTGCACAAATTATAAGAAAATTTCTCCAGATATAAAAAAATATATGCTTCATCAATCTCGTCTTTTTTCTCAATAAATTTGGACAGTATCCTTCATATTCTTTTTTTTCTTTTCATTAGTAAAATCCATATAAAAATAATCTATAACGAGTACAATTGTCAGTTTGTAAAATATACTACCATCTTCGTTAATAGGTTTTTCTTTTTTTTTCTTCATTCGCGTTTCGAGAGCCTCATACACGTGGATCAGTTTCGAGAAATGACGATTGCTCATGATGAATATGAAACGGTAACTGTTCGGTGTGTATGTATATGCATATAACGATCGATGTATGACCGAAAGAACCGAGGTCCACTGGGGCGAAGTAAATCTTATAAAAAATCTGCATGAGATCCCGCTCCGTAAAATTGTACAAAAGTTAACGCGCTCGAGGAGGTACGTATAAAAGGAAACAGTGTGAATGTTACTGTTGCTTATTGTGTACTTGTATAAGTATCACGTATTTACGGATGAACGATTCGGTTATTGCTACTGCATTAATAACTATCATTATGTCTACGCCCGGCAATCACTTGATGAATCGGGGATGGAATACGTTAGCTTTCACACGGGACACAATATGAGCGATTAAGAAATTACAATGATACATTGATATTCTGTCGGGCAGTGCGGCAATCGTTACTGCTCCCCAAAACGCCAACGTCAGCGTGTCAACCGGGTAATATGTACAAGTTCAGCCGCAAATTCGGGCGACCGTATTTCTTATTTAAAATTACAATCAACAAAAGTATTCTCGTTCGATCTTTTCCTGACTACGTATGATCGAGATTAGACGGATACTGACAAAAATTTTCGAGCTCGCGCTTTTTCTTAGTAATCTTATACACACACATTTTATACACAAGTTTAAAACGAATGCAACAATGATGATTTAGATACACCAGTAAAAACGACGCTAAAGGAGCACCGATGTACCGTGAGGACTCGTGACAAATTGTTAATTTCATTGATATCGCGATTGCGCGATTCTAAAAATTCATCTAATAATTAATATGTATATGTGTGTGTATGTGTATGTGTGTGTGCGTTAAATAAATCTCTCCCTTCTATCCCTATCCCCAAAATTGGACTATAAAGTCATTATCTATCGTCGAATGCAAACAGCGCTCGACGAATATTACTTTTTCCGTTATCCTTCTCTTTTTTGTGATGTTGGACAAAATCGACATGTTAAAAAATCTTTGTATCACCTAATCGTCATGATCACTATTAAAATTAATCTTATCGTCTATATCGTTACATGTATTACCCTCGTATCAGCTATCAGGAACCTAAAAACAAGTGACGCTTTAGGCGATTTAGATGTGATCTAATAAATTAACTGATTATGAATTCGTAGTGAAAAGATATATATTAAATGCGACGTGGAAGTCGTTCAGTTTCCTTACTTTCCATTGCAATTGCGTCCCCATTTCGTAAAGTTCCTTGAGCGTTTCTGCCAATTGCCCCGAGCTTTCCAATTCCTTGTATTTACGGTATAATTCCAGAGCCGCTCGCGCGTCCTCCGCCGAATCGTGAGTCTCGGATTGGATTTTCTTGCCTAGGAAGTGCCACGTCAAGAAGCGTAACGACACCATACGATGACGAGGCAAGTGGAACAACAAAACTGTGTCCACTATTTGTTCTGGTGGCACCACCAGATTTATCACCCTATAAAGAGCGATAGTTAAGAGAAAGGGGTTGGCGCGCGCGCATGGATGTCGCGAGAGCAAGCATGAATTTACCTGAAATCATTCTTCAGGCCATGCCCAACAAAGATAATGCCGTTGTCCACTAGAAATCTCAACTTTTGATACGTTGACTTCAAAGTAGTAAGATGCTTACTACTGAAGTTCGCGTCTAAATCGCCCGGCTGAATCCCACTGAATTTGGTAAGATAGTCGACCACCTGTTCCTGAGTGCTTATATAATCGTCTATGAACGGCGTACCTTCCAGTGGACCTTGCCTACTTGATAAAAGATATTGATGTAACCGTAACTTACGTTACATATATCGCGAGTATATATCTCGTATTTTCATTATTAATTATCTCCGATCTAAGATCTGATTGTTTCTCGTCATTTGAGGGGACTAAAGAGAAACTTGTTCGTGAAACACATTGAGAAATTTGCTCATACAGCTAACTCATATGGATCATACCCGCGTATACAAGTGATTCGCGCCACCGACATGTGGCTCGGTTTTATGGTCGACATCTTCCCATCACTCCGCAGCTCGGCTTCTTCCTGATTTAAAGTAACAAACTCTGCGTCGATTCCCACTAACTCTCCTATAACAATAATTCGAACATATGAGTAATACTCGAGTAACGATAACGAGGTATGTTTTTCAATACTAAAACTTTTAAAAAGCATGTAGATATAAGATACTTTTCTAGGTTACATTTAAAAATGAGTTTTTCTGCCAAGTACGAAATTAAACAAGATAACCACATGGGTAACTTACAAAGAGGCAGATATACCTTTTTGAGGCATTTCGTCCGATGAGAGTGGAGTAAATGTGATGCCTCTCGTACCACCGCTGCGAGCGATGCACTTGTCTTCCCCGAACACGTCGTATGTAAGTGGATTGATAAATGATGTCGGCTCGGGTGCAGGTATCGCGGTGTAATGAAGTACGCAGGGTATTTTCCAGTCGAGATTGAACCATACCGCTTCCTGCGGCGTCACCGCCGATATGCTGCAAAGTAATCATTATATGTATGAACGAACGACATGGATACTCGACGCACAGTAAAACCATCTTTCTTCGAGGGTCAAAGAAGGACTAACCAAAAATCGTTGAAGATGTACCACTGCGACACGGCACTGCCTGACAACCGCTCGTGATAATTCGGTCCAACCTGCAGAAGCGCCACGATGTTCCTCCGTTCCTCGTTAGTCTTGTCGTCGACGTAACAAACAACGGCGCTGAGACTGTATTGTATTTTTTGAGTATTAATGGAAATTTCAGGATTTGTACTTTTCGCCTCGGCTACGTTGCTGTGCGCGGCGCACTCCTCGTCGTCGTGGATGTCTCCGACGTTCTCGGAAACTATTTGTACCTTATTGTCATCTCGGCCGTTCTCCACCACCAAGTTCGTTCGCGCGGACGCGCCGTTATTAGATTCGTTCATCATGCCGTTCACCTTCCGCACAGACAGCTCGCCGTTCTTGTCGAGAGTGATCTCGATATTGTGAGGTATCCAGGAATGCGAGTAATATAAATGACTAGGAGGCGACGCCGACGAAGTTGTAGGTGACGGTAACACTCTCTCTGCCTCTGTACGATTAATACGACCATTGGTCAACGTTCACTTAGAAAAATATGTCGATCGGACTGATGATTTGATTTTGCGTACCTGAATCGCGACCAACGTGCCTAAATCGACACCCAACTCGAGTACAGTTATTGCCGTATCGACAAGGTTTGGCGGTGATGGGCACAGGACTGGAACAGGGACTAATTTCCTTCCCGGCTAACACCTTTTGCACAACGATGTCCATCTGATTCTGCCAGAACGCCTTGTCCTGTAAACAATTCGTGACTCTCAGACGGTTGATGCACACATGCTTCATGCTTTGATTTCGTATCAACTACAATTGTATGTTTAAATTTGTGTTGTAGCTACCTGTTGAGTATCTAAGCCGCAGTTTAGAGCCAGTATTTGAGGTAGTTTAGTCAATTGTCGAGACTGGAGAGTGGGTGTAAATTTCTGGCAATTGTCACACCATGCAGGTGTAATTTTCTCGGGTCTTAAACTGCGGGCAAGAACACTCGTGAACGGAACCTCTTCAGCTACAAAAGGTAAATTTTTCGTTCAGTCGCAATTGCGAAGACGCCCGCGTTAAAAATAGACTGAGGGCCATGCGGAGGAGAGCGAGTCGGGCGTGTGAGACGTTCAAGACGATTGAACTGCGATCTTCGCTCAAATCTTGTTAACAAATTATTATTTTACACGCTTAAATGCACGATGCACTAGTCAAAATAGTCTCTTTCTTTCACCAATATTTTCAGTCTCAGAATACTCATAACGAGTTTCTCGAATATGATACGTCAGACTCGCCCTCAACCGAGATTTCAGTCGCGTATCTCTTAAAAGTGGCTTACAAGAATTAATTATCTCCGGATAAACTAAGTTAGACAGCAACATGATGGAATGTTTTGTAGCTTCTTGCCCACATTTGAGACATCGATGTATGTGCATTTGTTCGGATCCAAATAGTCGACTGATTTCTGTTTCTTCGTCTCGGACTTCGTTTTCTTCAGTGGATTTTTTGGTGTTCTTATCTACCCGCAATGAGTGTGCGTTTAAAAGAAGCGAACATTATTAAGATTTTTGAATAAAATATATCATTCGATAAATTAGATATGCATGTAATGTTTCTGACAAGTGTTCTCTCTCTCTATCTAAAAAAGCGTTGAATTTTAGAAAGCTTGTCGGCCTTTGTAACAAAGCAATATGAGATATAGATCATCGTGACAATTTGGGAATAATTACTCTGTTAAATAGACTTAATATCTCAGCATTTTTTGCAGATTTCATGTTACTTTGAACGGATATCAATCACATATCTTTAAATCCCAAGGTTTCCTCGTATAACAGCAAAATCATGCAACACTTTTGGAAAATAAAATACAAGGGGCTGGCGGCTTCTTATTATTAAAAAAAACTCATGTATATAAAAAATGTATATAAAAATATATATTTTACCTACATTTCGACATTCATTTCTAATACTAAAAATCTATTGTGTACGTAACATAAATTATATAGATTTTCAGTACTGGCAATGAATATCGCAACGCAGTTTTTGAAGCGTTGTAAGGAGTATAAAATGAAAAGCGTTACCGTAACTGATCAATGTAAAGTCAAACAAAACAGTATGTTCTAAAAAAAAGAACAGAGTAAAAAATACGCGCCTTCGCGCACATTAAAAAAGCTTCAGTTGTGATATCCTAAGAATACAAGACAACAACAAGATCGTAAGATACTAAAGCAACGTCTCTGCGATGTTCATAAAGATGTATGGTAAAATGTGACAAAGTTATCTCGGGTTACCTCTTGTTATTCTTCGGATATGTCGCTGCAGCCTTTGATCGAATGAACAGATCAAATAATATCACATACAAGTTGAAAAATAAACACAAAAAGTGCCCAATGCAAAGGTTACACATGAATTGTGTTTACCTTTCGATGTGATCCACATATATTTACCATCCTCCTCTTGCTTCCGCCTCCTTCTCCTCTCTTCGTCGTGGCTCCTGTAGCGAGAACCAAGATCCTCGAGGATGCTCGGGAAATCTTGCTCGTTATAGACAAACGGTGGATATTTGGACCCCGATTTGAGTCGCGCCGCCTCTTGTTCCTCTTGCTGCCGCTTTTTGGTCTCCAGAATCTCGTAGTGTATCTGATGTAGGATAAATCTGTTCCAACTCTGAGAAAGTAAACAACATAAATAGAGCGTGTCACACGCTGTCGATCGCGACGACTACTTCATAGTCATACTTGTATGAGCCTGATCAAACTAATCTTCCTCTTAGCTTCCGGATGTAGGTCACTCAGTATGAGTCCCAAGGCTGCCGCTTCGGGCACCGTCCTGAAAGCCCTGAGAAAGTTTGCGGCTTGACAGGGCAATCCCCGCGAGATGTCCAGCATATGGAACAAGAAGCCCAGTTCGCAAGAGAGGCAAAATTCCCGTTGACACGAGTGTGAGAGCAACGCTATCCTCACAGGCTCGCAGTAGTATAGCAACTGTAAAACACGAACGTAACGTCTGAATGAAGATTCCCTTTCTCTCTGTTATTTCTCTCATTGCCTTATCATGGATCTTATAGCATTGGCATTATGGTATACTTACTTGCAGCATAGCGTTACAATAACTGTTGGGCAGGGTGGCCTCCAGACCGCAGAAACTGGTGCGATTGTACTGATCGAAATCGAAGTCGTCGTAACCGAGCCGTGAGTATTTCAATTCAATCTTACGGTAACGCTTAGGTATTGCCACAAAAGCGCCGTCGTCTGTTTTAGATCGTGAGTCCCCCGTGAAAAGCTTCGCGACTAAGCCGCGTCGTTTTTCCAAATCGTACGGTACCTGCAAAAGAGGTATTACTTATTTTTGTCTCACTGAATAAAAAAAAAAATGAAAAGATGAAAAAGTGCCAAACGTATATTTCGCCCCCAGCGACCAGTCTCAGTTCTCGGCGCGATTCACGCGACTAACAAGAGTTCATGCGCGTAAACAGTTTCGGTGCGTGACGGAAAATAATCTTGGATCATAAAACAAATAAATAATGCCTATTGAAAAACGCGTGAACACGAACGTGTGTATGTGCGTTTGTGGGAACCGAACCGACACAATGCGGCGCGTCGACATTAAAATTACGCATGCTATTGTATGTCATACAACCTTTATTGTTTCACTCAAGTACAACTTCGAGTATACATTATCATGCGGAAACATATTCTACGTGTAAATATACTAGTAATCGCACGCCTATCGAGCTTGTTGAGCGAAAATCATTCAGCGAAAACGGATGAGAAATGCATCGATCACAAAACACATTGTGCGGCACTTTTGCGAGATTCAAGGCAGTAGAGAATATCACGCAGCTCGACAAAGCATAGGAATTATTATGAGAGCTTTCGGTGAAAGATATATCGAAACGTTCGTTCACGATTCTTTCTTTTTCGGTGGGG